AGCTGCCCGATGAAAGATAGCTTAGGTGGGAGGGAAGTTGTATGTTCTGGCTAGCCAAAGACTGTGTTTAATGGCAAGGTGCCACAGCTCCAAATTAGCTGGACACTTTGGTTTTGTGAACACTTTACACCTCATTAAAAGGCAATTTTGGTGGCCATCACTAAAAAAATGACACAGAGAGTTATGTAGCTAGCTGCCCTATTTGTGCAGCAGCTAAAAGATGTCAAGGGAAAATCCCAGGACTGTTACAGAAGGTAGCTGAACCTTCAGCACCCTGGAAGGAGATTGCTATGGACTTTATTGCCGAACTACCAGAAAGTGTGGGGAATACTGTTATTTGGGTTGTAACAGACCTGTTTTCAAAACAGGTACATTTTATACCCTGCCAAAAGTCTAGTCAAGTTATTCCTGATAAACATTTATTGCCTTCATGGAGCCTCGCAGAGAATTATCTCCAACAGAGGGTCCAATTCACCTCAAAATTTTGGAGGGCATTTTTTACCTTACTTGGCACCACGCAAGGATTGAACTCCAGTCACCATTCGGCCACTAACGGGCAAACTGAAAAATTGAACTCGGTTCTAGAACAATATCTAAGATGTTTTATTAATTTTCAACAGGATAACTGGACTGATCTTTTACCTCTTGTGGAAGTGGCCTTCAATAACGCTGTGCACTTAAGCACTGATTTCACTCCTTTTAGAGTAGCAACAGGCCAAGATTTCAGCCCCATACCTGAACTACCCACAGAAGAACCCACTATCCCCTCACTAAAAGAATGGATAGACAACCTACGAAACACATGGCCAGTAGTTAGATTAGCATTACAGGAAGCTAGAGAGGCTTTTAAAACTCAACCTGACAAAAAAAGAGTAGATCCCAAATCTTTCCATGTTGGAGGTAGAGTATACTTATCTACAAAATTCCTGAGGTCGTTGCAGCCATCAAAGAAATTAGGGCCAAATTTCATTGGACCTTTCCCTATCACTAGAGTCATCAATCCAGTAACTGTAGAATTACTTCTTCCAAAGACACTCAGGCAAGTCCACCCGGTATTTCACATTAGTTTACTCAAACGAGAAATAATCTCACAACTCAGACCACCTGCACCTACACCACCTGTTCCTATCATGATAGAAGGCGAACAACACTTTGAGATTAAGGAAATTGTGGACTCTAGGACCCACAGGGGGAAAACCCAATACTTAGTTGCTTGGAAGCATTTACCTTCATCCCAAAATGAATGGATAGCTTAACACCATGTTAGGGATTCTACCCTGTTGAAAAATTTTCACTCCCAATACCCTGACAAACCTTGTTAAAATACTATGATAGAATTTCTGTTTCTATCTTTTCATAGGTGTATGTTCTTAATATCATGACCAATTAATATCATGACTATTATATAATTATTTTGCATCTGACTCTTAAAAAGTTGAGAGTTATTTGAAAGGGCAGAAAATTGTAGGAAAAATAACCAGAAATACAAATTGGGGTTATTTGGGCATATCTTTTACTTACAAACATTTACTGT